ACCATCTCTCATGAAAGTCGACAATAGGTAGTTTGTGCGGAGGTGCGTGAGCAGACTTGGGAAGGGATAGCCGGGCGATGCCCAATCACAATGGTTGGCTGATGAGCGAAAAAATTGCCGTCTCTATCAGTTCTCAATGATGCCCTAACTAACGTACCAGAGTGATAATGATGTAATGAGAGCAGCTTCCAAGATGTGATTAGCCAGAAGAAGAAAATAATGAAGTAGAACGAGTCGAAGAAGGGAGATGATGTGACTTTATAATACATTTAGGCGATAGGCGTACAAATGCCCGGGATGGGGATAACGAAGATGTAGATCAAAGGGTGGGTTCGAGTAAGGAGTCCACTTGTACAGCGTTGAATTCGAGTGAACAAAGGCATATTTGGCGTGATGTCATCATGAAGAAAGGTGAAAGAATTATCTTGTAGGCCAGGTGACTTCATATTCCGAACTGGAGTGTCGCCTTCAGAGAAAAATTCACGTTCAACTATTTGATATTCTTAAGGCGTCTAGCCACACCGACATCAATAAATGCTAGCGACGGCAGTTCATTCATGCTGCCTGCCGACCTTTGCCAGAGACTCAGCGTTGAAGGTGGAGGTCCTGAGATGCGAGTCTTCTCTGCTCCGTCTTGAAGGCCAGTCTTCTCGTTACATCTGACATCAAATCGTCTGCCGGTCGAGCCATCCGCCGTCCTCATTTTTCCTTCATACACGACCTCTTTATTCTCTGACGCTTCCTTGTCTCCCTTTTCCAGTTTATCCTCATGTCCTTCTACTTCGTTTGGCGCCTCCATCTGCCGGCAAATCGCTTCTTCTCGCTGCTCTTCCTCTTTGCCAAACTCTTTTTTCTCAGCCGGTACTTCACTTCGGAGTGGCTCTATCTTTGAAGCCGCATCGACTTGTTCTTTGGGTGTGAGAACCTTCGTGCTTTCTTCATCTTCATCTTGAATACACACTTTCTTGTTTTTAGTTCTTTCCACTTCCCATTGCCTCATACGCCTCGATTCAAGCCGCCTGCAGACCCCGTATTCGAAGCGTCGTATCCAAAACCTGTGCGGATGTTTTCTAATTGACTTCTGCTGCGGTTGTTGCCGAGGCTTTTTGTTAGACATTTCCTCAACAAAGTTATCGCCTACAGAGATTGAGAATTGCGGCACAGCAATTTTCCTTTCACTCAGAACTGTGGATTGATCCGAAGCAGAGGATGTAGGCACTGATGCAGATTGCATTACAAATTTCAGTTTGGAAACACATTCAACCGAACCAGATGGAGGAATCTCGTAGGCAATACTTTCGTTTGGCTTGATGTTTTGAGCAGAGCTGTGGTCCGGCCTCTAAGATGGTTGAAATGAATCCCGTCCACACGTTCCGTAGCCCAAATGAAAAGGGTAAAAAGCAAAACATTGGATAGTTTATAGAATGCATCCAGCATAAAAGCAAGCAGAGTGAAAAAAATCGTATATGTACACTGTTTTTAGGACACACACAATAGCAGTGATTACATCATTTCATACCCTTAAATGGCAAGTTCACAGCTGGTTTCGTTCGCTGCCCCTTGGCATATTTAGCCCTGACTAATGGGGTACCAAATATGTCATTGTATACATCTCATTGGAACCATCCTATACCTAAATAATATAATATTATGTCCATAAAATACCAGATGGAAGCGATTGCACGTTCTCTAAGATCGCCGAGTAGGCATTAGTGTGGTTTCATCTATACTCCAACTTTTTCAATTTTATTCCTAATAATTATCTAAACTAAATTTAATGGTGAATCAATTGCTTATCGATGTAGATATGCTAACAAATTGAATAAATATGGAAAGCAGACCGTTTTAAAGGCTTACAAGTTGCACTATTTTGACAGATTAATATGTACTGACTTGAGTGGGAACTGAGTTTCTCCAAGTCACATTTTGTATTTGATATTACTATGAGACGCTATATATTAATTTACTAAAATATAGGCACAACGAGCTTCAGCATAATAGCAAGCCTTGATTTTAATTTATTATTGGGAGCCTCCACAATTTGAAGGCGCTTGGCAAATATTTGTAGATATAAAGTCCGAGCTGTACAGTGTCGGTTTATGCAGATTTTGCAACCTGGTAGAAGCAACAGGGAGACTTTGTATAACATATCTGGTACTAGGTCCTCTGCTATATAAGTCATGGCTATTTCCAACATCGGGCTGATGAATAGCCAAATTGACAGACTTTTCCTCGGCATCATAGTCGAAACAGGAGTTTTTCCTTTTCACAAAGTCTCCCTGCTTCCTAAAATAGAATAAAACGATCTGCTTAATTATCATGCATGCTATGGACTCCAGATAAGGTGCATTCCTCAAGATCTTTCTGTCAATATGACCAAGTTGTGAAAACAAGGTCAAAAAGCTATTAAATAACGAAAAGAGAAGGTCATACCAACTTGGTCCTTATACGTCCGTTTAAAACCATCTTAGCCCTATTCTCTGTGGTAGAGTAAAATGACTATGATAGCCGTACGATGAGGTGATTAAAGTAAATCATATCGAAGACAATCCCAACTTAATCCTTACTTGAAGATATGAAGACCAAGAGGTTGTGGCCTCTGGTATGGTCGCAGTTTCATTTCGATTTATAGAAATGGGTTGACCTCGTTGTCGCAAATTGTTCTCTTTGACGAGTTCGTAGCTTGGTGCGGCGAATGGCAAAACTGACTGATGATGCCGATTATGATACCCGCGAAACGTTTGAGAATGTACCAAGTCAACTGTCTGATGGTGGGAATCATGACAACTACTATGAACAAAATAGAAGAGAGTTTCAAGATGGCACCGCTACAACCGGCAGTGCTCATGTCGTACCTGGATGATTACTTCACACTTTGGTCACATGGAAGAGAAAAACTGGAAGAGTTTCTGAAGTTTGTAAACAAGGTTGATGAAAGGATTCAATTCACGATGGAAGTAGAGGAAGGTGAGCGGTTACCGTTGCTGGACGTTGAAGTGATTCGCTCTAATGGGAGGCTCAAACATAAATTGTTCAGAAAGAAGTCCTATGCTGGGATAATACTCAATTTCCGGTCCCATTACAATTACAGGCTAAAGATTGGAAGAATGAGGAGCATGATCATGCGGAGCCTACACCTAGCGGATGTAGAATTCTGGGACGAGAAGTTGGACAAATTGAAGAGGATATTCCTCGGAAACGGCTACCCAAGTGAAGTAATATAAAGAAACATACGGGAGGTGAAAAGCCGATGGCAGAACGGAGACTATGAAAGAAGAGTAAGGACGGAGAAAGATTCACAAAAGTGAATATGCCTACCTTCCTGCAAACTAACTCAAAAACGAGGCCAATATTGAGGAAATGGAATATTTAAGTGGCCATTAAAGAGAAATCAACACTTTTCAAAAGTCTGCTGGCGCAAAATGAAAAAGTTAGGAGCCTACTGTATATCATGTAGCGCCTGCAAACAGAAATATATTGGCAAATCAGGGAGAAAAATTAGCATACGAATCAAGAAACATCAATTGCTATTGAAAAAATGGGTACCGAAAGATAAAAATTAGCGGAATGTATCACACAGACTGGACACGGGATTAATTGGAAGGCAACATAAAGGCGAAGAAAAGTTGGGTTTCGAGGAAACTCTTGTGTCATAATTGTTGAGCTTACTTCCATTTCGAGTGAAAGTGTTGTGTGAAGAGATTCGAAGGTCGGTTCCAC